ATCAATACAATTTTATTTTTGAAAAAGAAAACCATCCTTGTATATATTTTAAAATATGGATGATCATGTAAATCTCTGCCAACTCTACTTACTTCAATACAAGGATAAGATTGAGAATACAGGGAAGATATGTCTAGAAGGGGAGAGGATTTTAAGTTGTGAAGTTCATAAGCCCCGTTTGGGTCTGCTAGTGCAACTGCCTGGGGTTGATCAGTTTGGAATTGCAGGGACCCCAAAATACTGAGGTTCAGGGTGCAGTTGTCTAGAAAGAATTTGCAGACTCAAACAGTCTTCTAGTCAAGTGGCCAAAAAAAAAAAGTTTTATTATAAGACTAATAAAGGAGGGCAGAGCTCCTTAAGGAGCTTGTAATCTAACAGGAGGGATGCTAAAGTTTATATAGGAAAGGTACAGAGAATGTGTGTCAAGTGTGCTAATTAGGTGGTAATGTATAGTTTCTGTGCCTTGGGCACAGGCATCATTCACTACTGGCATGGCCTGGGGGTTGGGGCTTCTAAGGGGTCTGTATATCTATATTTATGGGTCTGTAACAAGGAGTTGACATCCATAGCTTGACCTCTAGATTGTATACAGTAACTGTGGGAATCAGTATGTGAGTTTTGCTGGTACAAGACAGCCCTGCTCATATAAGGGAAATTCTACAGAGGTCAGCTTGTTATTGTAACAGGGAAATATAGTTTGCCTCACTGGTCCCACTCACAAGTTTTTACCAGAGATATTGTCTTTGGGCTGGGGAGAGATATGATCCTAGGGCTGGGGTCCCAGCATAACCACCACATCAGGGTAATAGTCATATATTTAATTTAGAGCACAGTACTTCAGAGGGGAGAAAGAGAATACTATTCAGGGCCTCAGACATCTACTAGCTATGTGACCCTGGATAAGTCACCTAACTTTTCTCTGCCTCAGTTCCATCAATTGTAAAATGGGGATAATAGTCACCTCCATCACCTACCTCCTGGAGTGGTTGTGAATATCAAATGATATAATATATGTAAAGGACTTAGCACTGTGCCAAGTACATAGTAGGTCTTTAATAAATACTTCAATCTTTCCTTCCTCTTTCCTGAGATGCCAGTGGATAAGAAGCCCTACCTTATTTTCAAACACTTGGCCGTAGCCATTTTTGCAGGGAAGCAGTTAAAACAAAATGCTTCCCTTGAGGAGAGAATGAATTGAAAGAAAGCCAAGTCTCCACTAACTAGTTTTTTTAACTTGATAATTATATTTAAAAATATTTAATTTCATTTGTAAACCTATGTATTTCAAAGTCTTTTCTGAGAATCCTTTGGTTTCACCAGAATGTCAGAGGGGTCCATACGAAAATGGTTAAGAATCTCTTTATTATTAATAGGGGGTACAATCCTCTCCTTGACTATGCTAAGTCCTTTCAGCTGGAACACAGGGATCTAACCCAATATTCCTAGTGCTAGCCTTGGTCAGAGGTGAAATCTCTCTTACTGAGACAGGGGGTTCAGTCCCATGGTCCTTGGGCTCTTTGGAGAAGGCAGGAGGTCTTGCTGTAGAAGGTGTTCTTGCTGAGGATCCTAGTCCTAGACCTAATCAGCTATTCAGCCATATGACAGGAAAGAATTGCTTACATTTCAGATGGCCATCTTAGAAGGTCTGAGCTCTTTTGTCCTTTCATGGTCATATGTGGAAGAAGAGGATGTCATCAGGAGGGAGCCAGGTCTGAGAGAGTATAAGACGATAAAAGGAGAGAGTAGAAAAAAGCGTTTAAGATGAAAGCTAGTTTGTTATGTATGGAAGAGACATTTCAGAGAGGGAAGGGATGGATAGCTTTAAAATGGAATATTGGAATGGCTTAGGTTGAAGTGGATATTAGTAAGAGAGCTTTCCCTGCTCAGTGGAGGATATAGGATGTGTTTTGATCAGTTATACCCAAGGTTTTGGAATTGTTGGCAGCAAAAGGATATGCCACGCTAAAAGGATGGTTATTGTTGAGTGATGAGTTGAGGTTAGGTTTTCATGTATCTTAGTCCCTAGGGCTTTGGCCTCTAAGGAGTCCTCCAAGAGCACTAAACATCAGAGTCTAGCTGGAAAGAGAATGGGGGATGGGAAGAAGAGAGAGCAGGCAAGAGGTCTAGGACAAGGCAATAAGTGTGGAGTGCTAAAAGTTTGCTGGGAGAGGAGACCAACAAGTTTTGCTGGCCCTAAGAAGCTAGGTCACTCCCTTCCTTCCTCTGCAGGCCCCAGAGAGGCAACAAAAGTTCCGTGGAATGGCTAACTTCCTTCAGAGCAAAGTTTAGGTGATTTTCATCGTTATTAAATAGGAAGGTTCAAACGAAATCACGTGTTAAGGACCTTTAGCAAACTTGAAATTCCTTATAAATGTCTTCTTTCATTATAGTTAGGAAACTCTTCAGGGAAGACATGGAGACAGTGAGCCACTACTGAATTTTTATCCATGAAATGGTTATGGCACTTACTAGAAGGTATACTGTCCAGTCATGCTCATTCTTGCTACTGCCTTAGGTGCCTAGATGTCGGGAGTTTCATTTCCTTAATTTGTAGCCAAGCCCAGAAGCCCAGTGAGCTATATTAGCCACTAGTGAAGGACATTTCCTGAACCTGGGAAGGCTACTCTTTCTGTGGGATCATTTGGTAAAAAGCTCTCTTTGCTGAAGAGAAGACTTAAGCCTCCCTTAGTCAAAGCACTCTATACTTAGTAAATAATTACAAAACTACTTTAATTAACTTATCAAGGGGGTAGACTCCCTCTTCATTGTTTCTGATAAGTGAACACTTAGATAACTCAGAAAGTGTCCCAGAGTTCAATGTAACTAAATGTACTGAGCTGGGAATATAACTAACCACTAAGGGCTAGTCCTGAATGAGGGGAAAACAAAGGAATTTTTCTATTGTGTTACTCATTGTGAGGACAGCAGTTCACACACCTTCTTCATGTGAATGGGAAAGGGCTGGAGATATCTGGGAAGAGCATATAAAAGCCTAGTACTGGCTGCCATTGAGAAATTCCTGGTCTGACACCAGAGTGTACCCCAGCTGCAGCTGTGATCCTGACTAAGAAGCCTCCTAGAAGGATTCCAAAGGTAGGTTTCCTCTTGGGAAAATGCCCCTTTTTCCTGCAGATCTGTGAAAATTTGACAGCTGGCCTGTTGAAGGGACTAGGAGTCACTAAGGAGAGACATGGGGCTTGTATGAGTGTCTGGTTCATGGATCCATGATTACAGTCAAGTTTCTTACTCTGCTTAAACTTTAGTGTCCTCATCTGTAAAATTTGGGAGCTTACTGTCTCCTTAACTCAGGCAGACTGTCAGGATCAAATGGGATAATACATGGAGCCTGGCAGTAGGTCTTAAGGCTAGCCAGATATTATTTAGGTCAGGATCACTTAAAAAGAGAGAAGTGTCACGATTTTAACACAGTGATGATATTATTCTGGACTGTCCTGGTTGGGGAGATTAGGTATAGCTAAATTCTTAGAGAGCTCCCTAGGTAGAATCCAAATGCTCTGGAGTAGTCCAACACCAGTTGTTTTCCTTGGCAGGACCTATCTATGCACTTAGTGCAGTCAGACAACAAGCATTTACTGATCACTTACTATATACCAGGCAGTGAGCTAAGTGCTGGGGACATAAAGAAAGGCAAGAACATGATCCCTGCCATCAAAGAGCTCACATTCTAATGGGGAGACCGTATAGAAACATCTTCATGAATACACAACATATGTATAGTGTAAGTGACAGGGAATCTTTAGAGGGAATAGGGGAAGGGTGAGGGGCCAAGGGATTTGATATTTTATCCTGGGAGTAATAGGCTTGGCAATAGTTTGGATACCTGGCATGAGTGCAAGTGTCATTATCATCTGATGATTATGTTATTATCAGATGATGATAACACTGAAATTATGAGCCTGGGTGATTATGAGGATAGTGGTGCCCTTGACAGTAACAGAGAATTTTAAAGACCAAAGGGTACATAAGGAATGATAATGTCTTTGTTTTAGACATGTTGGGTTTGAGATACCTATGGGGCATCTAGTTTGAGTTGTCCAAAAGGCAATGGGTAAAGCTCAGGAGAAAAGTTCTAGGGGTGGGGAACCTTCAGGCTTAAGGCCACGTGTGGACCCTATTTGAGGATTTCTTGGCAAAGACATTAGAAGGGTCTGCCCATTTCCTTCTCCAGCTCATTTTTCCTGAGAGGAACTGAGGCAAACAGGGTGAAGTGACTTGCCCAGGGTCACACAGCTGGTAAGCATCCAAGACCAGATTTGAACTCAGGAAGATGAGTCTGCCCACTGCTTATCCTAACTGCCCTTAACAGATTTAAAGCAATTCAGAAGTAATGATAATTATATTTTGTTCCTTTTTGCTATGACATTTTCCACATCATTTTGTTAAAATCTTGAGACCACTTGTCTCTACCCTCTCCTCATTTGATCCATCCTTGATTTCTTCCCTCTCATATTGTATCTCCTACAATGAGGAATGTGGTTGCCTTCACTTTCTAAAACTACAAACTATGTTTGAGGTAACCCACAGAAAAGTTATATAATGAAATGATCCTCCTCTCAGTGGTTAGGCATCAAGGGGTGGAAGAGGGGAGAACTCTCTGATTATCAGATAAAGGGGAAGTTATTAGTTAATTCTCTCTGATAGTACAGGCAAAGAAAGCCAAAAGCCACTGCCCAGGCCCATATTGCTATTTCAACCCAGTAACTTTGATACTAACCCTTCCCTCTGTAGGTACCAGTGGTGAAATAGAAATCGTCAAGATTCAGCTTAGAGCTGGAGCTGGCAAGGTAGCATCTTGATACTTCCCTTGCTCCCTGGGCATTGCCTCCTCTTCTTCTTTCTTCTAGTTATCTTCTTTCTCTCCTGTCCTTTTCTCTCTTCCTCCTCTCCTTTCTTCTTCTTCATTTCTCCTTCACCTCCTTCTTCTCCTCCCCTCTCCTCTTGCTAAAGCCCAGCTGGCCCAGCCCCACTTCCATACCATCATGGATAACATCAGCCCCAGCATCGTGATTGAAGATGATGAACCAGGCTACAACCTGGACTTATTTTGCATTCCTAAACATTATGTTGAAGATCTGGAAAAAGTGCTCATTCCTCACGGGCTAATTCTGGACAGGACCGAACGTTTGGCACGAGATGTGACAAAGGAGATGGGAGGCCACCACATGGCTGCCCTATGTGTCCTCAAAGGTGGCTATAAATTCTTTGCTGATCTGCTGGATTATATCAAGGCACTGAACAGGCATAGTGATCAATCAGTTCCTATGACAATAGATTTTATCAGATTGAAGAACTACTGTAACGACCAGTCACAGGGGACATAAAAGTAATAGGGGGAGATGATCTGTCAACCTTAACTGGGAAGAATGTCCTGATTGTTGAAGATATAATTGACACAGGGAAAACAATGCAGACTTTGCTTTCTCTGATCAAGCAGTATAATCCAAAGATGGTGAAAGTAGCCAGCTTGCTGGTGAAAAGGACCCCACGAAGTGTGGGATACAGACCAGATTTTATTGGATTTGAAATTCCAGATAAATTTGTTGTTGGCCATGCCCTGGATTACAACGAATACTTCAGAGACTTAAGCCATGTCTGTGTCATTAGTGAGACTGGCAAAGACAAGTACAAAGCATGAGATCAACTTGGCATGCATAGAAGGTTTGAAACACTTGTGGGAAGCCCATCAACGTCACCTCTGGACCCCCAGCTCAATTTGTCCATTGTTTCAGCCCTGTGACCATCTTACTAGAGCTTTTTGAACAGACTGTATCTTGTCTGTTTTACATTGGAGGAATGTCAAAGGTTGCTCAAGTTCTGATTGCTGTTTCATTTGCCCTACAAAACTTAGAAACTATCACTTCCCTTGGGTGGGTTGTATTGCTTAAATTGCTGTTTGACTTATGAATGGGAAATTACTTAAACTACTGAAATGAAATAGTTCAAGTATTGTGCATGTAAGAGATGTTTAAAGAAGGATAGATGGATTTTTAAATGGGTAATTTAATTATGGATGTTAATGAAAATGCAGAGAACTGATTGAATATTGTTAATTAACACCTTTTCCTTTTCAAAAGGAAACAGTTTCAATATCTGTTCAGTTCTGTTCAGAATAAGAGGTTTGATTATTTTCTGACATCCTTATCTTTCTCTAAGAATTACATTATGATTTCAAGATTTTTGGCTATTGTTGCTAATACCAAATTAAGATGGAAGCGAAGAGTTCATTTTATTGACATGAGTAATAGAAAAGCCAAAAACTAAAGTTCACTGAGCTGTCTGTGCCCCACTCTTATAAATTATTCTCTTTTTTTTTTGTGCTTACCAGTCAAAAGTAATTTTCTGAAACCTATGACATTTGATTTTTGAAATCTGTAATGCAAAATGCTTAAAATAAAAGATGTCTCTTTAAAAAAAAATAATTGCTCTATGATGGGGTCATCACTTTGGAGGCTTGCACAAGAAGAACCCAATCCCAACACATTTCAGTGGATACCCTCAAGCCCTGAAGTGGAAGTCTTGTCTGTGGTAACTTTGCCCTGTGAAGCTGACCCAAACACCTAATTCTCTATCTACCACACCGCCTAGCTGCCTAATGAGGGCCTTATCCCTAGGCAAGAGGTAATCCCTTATGCTGGGAGGTTTAGTGCTTGAAACATCTGTTCATGCTGTATTTAGAGGGAGGAATTCAAATACTGGGGCATAACTGGCATCTGGGGCTGGGAGGAGTTGGAGAGCATGTACACAGGGAGAAGATTTTGAGTCAAGTGGGGAGGAAAAAAAGGAGTAAAATAGAAATTGAAAGTATCCATTTATCATCTCCTGAAAAAGATCCCAAAATAAAAACTTCAAGGAATATTGTAGCCAAATTCCAGAGTTCCCAGGTCAAAGAGAAAATACTGCAAGCAGCCAGAAAGAAACAATTTAAATATCATGGAGTCATAGTTAGGATTACACAGGTCTTAGCAGCTTCTACATTCAAGGATCAGAGGGCTTGGAATACGATATTCTGGAAGGCAAAGGAGCTTTGATTACAACCAAAAATCAACTACCCAGTCAAATTGAGCATAATCTTTCAGGGGAAAAGATTGAAATTCCCCAATTTCATTGAATGTCTATCAATCCCGATGATAAAACCAGAGTTGAACAGGAAATTCAATCTTCAAATATAAGACTTAAGAGAAGTATAAAAAGGTAAACAGGAAAGAAAAAAATTGTTATTTAATAAGGTTAGACTGTTCACATCCTTACATGGGAAAATGATACTTGTGATTCTTGAGAACTGCATCTTTATTAGGGCAGTTAGAAGAGGTATACATAAACAGAGGGTGTGGGTATGTTGACTAATATAAAAAATTAAGGCATAAAAAAAGGATTTTGCTGGGAGAAGAAGAAAGGAGAGGCAGAACAGAGGAAATTACATCATGTGAAGAGGCATAAGAGACCTATTACAGAAGAGGGAAAGGAGAGAAGAGGTTGAACATTTTTTGAGCCTTACTTTCCTCGGATTTAACTCAAAGAGAGAATAACATACATATTCAGTTGGGTATAGAAATCTAGCTTAGTCTATGGGGAAGTAGGAGGGGAAAGGGGGAAAAAAGGGAGGCAGTGGATCGAAGGGAGGGCAAAATGGATTGCAGAAGTAGTAGGGGAAAGGAGAAAGAAAAGAGAAGGGGGCTGATAATAGGGAAGGCAGATTGAGGGAGACAGTGGTCAGAAGCAAAATACTGGTGAGGAGGGAAAGGGTGAAAGGAGAAAGAGAAGTATAAAAAGGTGGAGGGAGGAAATATGATGGAGAGAAAGACACGGTTAGTATTCATAAATGTGAATGTGAATAGAATGAATGCTCCAATAAAATGAAAGCAGAGAGCACATTGGATTAAAAACCAGAATCCTACAATGTTGTTTACAAGAAACACATTTGAAGCAGAGAGATATACACAGAGTAAAGGTAAAAGGCTGGAGTAGAATATATTATGCTTCTGCTGAAGAAAAAAAAAGCAGGGGTGGCAATCCTAATCTGAGGCAAAGCAAAAGCAAAAATAGACATAATTAAAACAGAGAAGGAAAAAAAACTACATCCTGCTAAAAGGTATCATAAAAAATGAAGTGATAACTAAACATATATGTATCAAGTGGTATAGCATCCAAATTCTTAGAGAAGTGAATACAGGAAAAAATAGAGAGAAAAACTATGCTGGTGAGGTATCTCAACCCCACCTCTCTCAGAACTATATAAATCTACCACAAAATAAAAAATAAAGAATTTAAGGAGGTGAACAGAATTTTACAAAAGTTAGATATGATAGACCTCTGGAGAAAACTGAGGGATAGAGAGGAACATATCTTTTTCTCAGTAGTACATGGCATCTGCACAAAAAGTGACCACAAACACCTCAAAATCCAATGCAGAAAGGCAGAAATATTAAATGCATACTTTTCAGGTCATGATGCAATGAAAATTAGATGTAAATAAAGGGTCATGCAAAGATAGAGGGCCATGGAAAGATAGAGGAAACAACCTTAAATAACCTGATTTCAGGGGCAGCGAGGTGGTGCAGTGGAAAGGATCTGAGTTCAAATCTGGCCTCAGATACAGAATACTCACTAGCTACATGACCCTGGGCAAATCACTTAACCTCAATTGCCTCGCAACAACAACAAAAATAAAATAACCTGATTTCAGAAAAAGAAATTGTATAAAACATCAGTGAACTCCATAAGAAAAAATCTTCAGGGCCAGATGAATTTCAATAAATTCTACTAAATATTTAAAGAAAATCAATTCTAAATACTATATACACTATTTGAAAAAATAGGCAAAGAAAAAGTTCTATCAAGTTCTTTTTATGATACAAATGTGGTACTGATACCTAAACCAGCAAGAGCCAAAACAGAGAAAGAAAATTATAGAACAATTTCTCTAACAAATATTGATGCAAAAATTTAAATAAAATATTATCAAAGATATTACACCAATGTATCATGTGGATAATACACTATGATCAGATAGGATTTATACCAGGAATGTAGGGTTGGTTCAATATTAGGAAAACTATCAGCATAATTGACCACATCAATAACAAAATCATCAGAAATCATATGGTTATCTCAATAGATACAGAAAAAGCTTTTGACAAAATACAACACCCATTCTGATTAAAAACACTAGAGAACATAGGAATAAATCAAGTTTTCCTTAAAATGATAAGTAGCATCTAGCTAAAACCCTCAGCAAGCATTATGTGTAATGGGGACAGGCTAGAAGCATTTCCAATAAGATTGGGGATGGAACAAGGATGTCCATTATCACCACTGTTATTGAATATTGTACTGGAAATGCTAGCTTTAGCAAGAGAAGAAAAAGAAGTTGAAGGTATTAGAATAGGCAAAGAAGAAACAAAACTATCACTCTTTGCAGATGACACGATGATATACTTAGAGAATCCTAGAGAATCAAGTAAAAAACTATTTGAAATAATAAACAACTTTAGCAAAGTTGCAGGCTATAAAATAAACCCACATAAATTGTCAGCATTTCTATATATTACCAACAAAGCCCAACAGCAAGAGACAGAGAAAATCCATTTAAACTTAGTGTAGACATTATAAAATATTTAGGAGTCTACCTACCGAAACAAACCCAGGAACTCTATGAACACAATTACAAAACACTTTTCACACAACTAAAATCAGATCTAAATAATTGGAAAAACATCAGTTGCTCATGTGTAGGCTGAGCTAATATAATAAAAATTACAATTCTACTTAAATTAATTTATTTATTCAGTGCCTTACCAATCAAAATATCAAACATTATTTCATAGAGTTAGAAAAAATAATAACAAAATTCATTTGGAAGAACAAAAGGTCAAGAATATCAAGGGAATAGATAACAAAAAAAATGTTAAGGAAAGTAGCCTAGCTGAACCAGATCTAAAATTATATTATAAAGCAGAAATCATCAAAACTGTTTGGTACTGGCTAAGAAACAGAGCAGTGGATCAGTGGAATACATTAGGTACACAAGACACAGTAGTCAATGACTACAGTAATCTACTGTTTGATAAACTGAAAGATCTAGTTTCTGGGATAAGAACTTATTATTTGACAAAAACTGCTGGGAAAATTGAAAATAACAGCAGAAACTAGGCATAGACCAGCTTCTTCTTCTTCCTTTTTTTTTTTTTTGGCTGGGCAACAGGGTTAAGTAACTTGCTTAAGGTCACACAGCTAGTAAGTGTTATGTGTTTGAAGTCAGATTTGAACTCAGGTCCCCCTGAATCCAGGGCTGGCACTCTATCCACTGTGCCACCTAGCTGCCCCCATAGACCAGCTTCTTAAACCGTATACCAAGATAAGGTCATAATGGGTACATAATTTAGACATAAAGGGCAATACCATAAGCAAATTAAGAGAGCAAAGAATAGTTTATCTGTCAGATCCATGGAGAAGAATTTGTGACCAAACAAGAGATAGAGAACACTGTGAAATGCAAAACTGATAATTTTGACTACATTAAATTAAAAAGGTTTTGTATAAAGCCAATATAACCAAGATTAGAAGGTAGAAAGGTGGCAAACAATTTTGTATAGCCAGTGTCTCTGATAGAGACCTAATTTCTAAAATAAATAGAGAACTGAGTCAAATTTATAAGGATACAAGTCATTCCACCATTGATAAATGGTCAAAGGATATGAACAGGCAATTTTCAGATGAAGAAATTAAAGCTATATATAGTCTTATGAAAAAAATGATCTAAATCACTATTGATTAGAGAAATGTAAATCAAAATGACCCTGAGGTACCACATCACATGTATCAGATTGGCTAATGTGACAAAAAAAAAAAGAAAGAAAATGATAAATGTTGGCAAAGATATGGGAAAATTGGAACACTAATGCATTGTTGGAATTGTGAACTGATCCAACCATTCTGGAGAACAATTTGTAACTATGCCCAAAGAGCTATAAAACTGTACATACCCTCTGATCCACCAATACCACTAATGAGTCTGTATGCCAGAGATCATAAAAAAGGGAAAATGACCCATAAGTACAAAAATATTTATAGCAGCTCTTTTTTGTGGTGGCAAAGAATTAGAAATTGAGGGAATGCCCATCAATTGGGGAATGGCTGAACAAGTGGTGATATATGAATGCAATGGAATACTATTGTAGTATAAGAAATGATGAGCAGGCAGATTTCAGAAAAACCTGGAAAGACTTACATGAAGTGATACTGAGTGAAGTGAGCAGAACCAGGAGAACATTGTACACAGTAACAGCAACACTGTGTGATCATCTTTGATAGACTCAGCTCTTCTCAGCAATACAATGATATCCAGTTCCGAAAGCCTCATGATGGAAAATGCTATCAACATCCATAGAAAGTGCTATGGAGTCTGAATGCAGATTGAAGCATACTATTTTTTCTTTCTTTCTTTCTTTCTTTTTTCTTTCTTTCTTTCTTTCTTTCTTTCTTTCTTTCTTTCTTTCTCTTTCTCATTGTTTTCCCCTTTGGTTCTGATTCTTCTTTTACAACATGACTAATGTGGAAATGTTTACTATGATTGTACATGTATAACCTATATCAGATTGCCTTCCATCTTGGGGAGGGGTAAGAAAAGGAAGGGATGGGAAAAATTGGCAGTCAAAATCTTGTAAAAGGGAATGTTGAAAGCAAAACAAAAAAAAGTAGACAGAATCAGGCTGGCTGGCTTCCCTAGTTTATCTGATTTCCCTTCCATCCAGCTCTCCCTTAGATAAAGGGAAAAACAAGAGAGAAATGGATGTGAATCTCAGCTCCTACCACCCACCCTCAAAGCACCAGAGATTAGCCTCCAAAGGGATCACACCATCAACCCTTTTACAGCAAAAGGTAACTTGCAGGCTAGAGGGTATCTGTCCATAGCTCCCTGGGACTTACTTCAGTCTTTAGGAAGTGACGACAGACGTCCTTCAGTTCAACTCACATTGGTAAAGTCTGGGCTTGCCAACTGGAGAGCAATCTGTGGGCCCCCTGGGATGAGAGTGAGACATATATAGCCCCAGGGGAAGGAGGCTCACAGTGGCCAAGTCAGGGGACCTGGTCATTAGTGTTGCTGGTCAAAAGGTGCTAACATCAGTCTGCTCTGGTTGAGGTGGCTTCTGGCCAGGTAGAGGTTAACTAAGTAGACACTATTCATGGCTACAGTCTCTGGGCCGGTGACTAATCATGCCTCCTATTGTTCCTATCAGGTATTGAATGATAAGCTAGCAAAGGCAGTTTGAGTCATGTGGTTGACAAGTGTTTTACAGGTATGGAAAGCTCTCATTTCTGCTATCAGTATTGGTATGACAGGTGACACGAAGAGGTATGGAGTAGTTTAGAGCCATAGGAGCTATGGTGGTGGTACTAGACAGGGATAAGATGCAGGAGTCATTCCTTTTGCTTTTCCCCTGTTCTGTGTATTTGTTTGGGGTGGGATGAGGAGGTGAGGCTACCTACCACCACTGTAGTTCCTGACACTGGCGTATTTCCTATTTATACAAAATTAATCATAATGCCATTAGTTCAAACTTAAAACTTTTATTTAATGATAAGGGAAAAAAACAGAATAATTATAGCACCACAACATACACAAGATAAGGGAAATACAATAATGATCAATACATCACAGTCCACTAACCCAGGTAACGTTCTTCTACAATAGCAGTCGGGGAGATGGATCATACACAGAGAAATCTAGGAAGGAATCAGATAAATGAGAACAGCTCATGCATATGGGACCATTTACAACTCTGGGACTGTAGGTATTGATGTGTTCACTTTCTTCATGAATATTCTGTGCCACAAAAAAAGCTGCTTTTCTGCTCATAAGTGTTTTTATGGTTCCACTCCACTACCCTTCGCGACTGCTTTACTGCCAGGCAAATCAACATTTCTTCTGCTCTCAAATTAATAATACAGTGGCAATTTCTTTTAAACTGACAATCACCCTTAAACCAGTGCTCAGTGTTACATTATTAAGTGACAAGAATATCCCCTAAATCAGACGACTGCCAAGTTCCTCAGGATAGATCTCATGGGCAATACAGACAAGCCCAGCCATCTCCTCTCTCAGTTGGATTCTCCCTCATCCAATCAGACCTCATCATCTTATTATTGAAAAAAATCAATTAAAAAATAGAGAGTTGGCTGGGTTGCTGTATCTAACCCATCACCTTGAATCCACTCCCTCAATTAATTTTTCCCAGTTTTATTTAACAACTTTCACTTGATACAACATACCTAAAAGGAAATTCCAATCTAATGAAAGATTTAAATCAATGCCTCACAATTTAATATAAACACCAAGACCAAAGCCCTAGAACATCCATATTGTTTCTGAATATCGTCCTCATTGGCTTAAAAAGAAACAAATCTTAAATGTGCCTTATAGGATGGTAAAGGAAATAAACTAGAACATATCATATGTTTCCCTTTTGAATCACACAATTCTTTGTTGTTTTTTTAATTCATGTCAAATGTTGGAGGGTATATGGAAAAAAATGGGACTAATGGATTGTTAGTGGAGTTGAGAACTGATCCAAACATTCTAGAGAAAAAACTAAAATTGCACCCAAATGGCTATAAAACTGCATATCCTTTGACCTAGCAACACCACTACTAGGTCTCTATCCCAAAGAGATCAAAGAAAAAGGAAAAGAATCTATTCGTCCACAAATGTTTATACCATAATTTTTTATGGTGGCAAAGAAGTAGGAAATCAGAGGATAACCATTAATTGGGGAATGGCTGAACAAGTTATGGTATATGATTTTGATGGAATACTATTGTGTTGTAAGAAATGATGAGCAGGATGGTTTTATAAAGTCCTGAGAAGACTTATATGAAGTGATACACAGTGAAGTGAGCAGAACTAGGGAAACAGTATACATAGTAACAGCAATATTGTGTGATGACCTGAGACTGATTTAGCTATTCTCAGCAATACAATGATCCAAGACAGTTCTGAAGGACTTGTGATGAAAATTGCTATCCACCTGCAGAGAATGAACTGATGGAGTCTGAATGCAGATCAGAGCATGCTTTTTAAACTTTATTTTTCTTGCGTGTTTTTTGGTCTGTTTTCTTTTGTTGTTGCTGAGTCATTCAGTCATGTCTGACTCTTCATGACCTAAGGTTTTCTTTTACAATGTGACTGTTATGGAAATGTTTTGCATGACTGTAGATGCATAATCGATAGAAAATTAGTGTCCTCAATGGGGGGGGAAGGGAAGGATGGAGAGAATTGAGAACTCAAACTTTTAAAAATCTAATGTTAAAAATTGTTTTTACATTTAATTGAGAAAATAAATATATTTTTAAAAGACCATGTCTATCAAAATGCATTTTTACATTCCTGATAATCTGGCATAAAAGGTACATTTAACAGAACTGAGATTGCTTTAACCTCAATACTTAAGAGCACTCATGCAACATAACTACCTTGAGAAATACTGAAATATTTTTAACAATTATGATCTTTATTCAGCTTGCTTATCATGAAAGATTATTTTCCTGTGTTCTAAAAATATCTAACTTGGAACTTTAAAAAACAATTCTGATTTCAATAACAGTAAGTGTAAGCCATAAACTTGAATTGCAAACCATCATCTTTGTTTGATTTTCTTTAGAAAAGTTGACTAAGGGTCAATTATCAGGATACACTACTGATTCAGTTCCCATACTGGACATGCCTGATATTTCTTCCATTCTATTCATTCCCATAGATGCAAAGCTCTCCAAGTTGTTGTAGCTGCTGTTCACTTCTTCTTGGTTCTCTATGCAACGAGTGGTTGAAAAGTTGCTGAAGTTTTCCTCTAAAACTTGGTCACGTTTGCTCATGCTGATCTGACCATTGTAGGTGCCTCCATAAGCTTCATTCAAATCCTGGCTGGACAGACTGCCATAACTAAACTGGTTTGACAAGCCCATGCCTTCCATCATCTGGGGATCATAAGCCCCACTGTCTGCTCTGCTATAGAACACAAGAAGAGTTCTATGTACCTGTGTTGCATATTTGCTTTGTCTTTTGACATAGCTGCCACAGCATCTTCATGAGTAGCAAATTCAACATCTGCTTCTCCAGTCACTCTGCCATCATATCCAATTTCAATGTGTGCTCCCACAGGTTTGAGTGGTGAGAAAAAATCATAGATATCATTTTCAGTAACTTTGTAAGGCAGTCCTCTCATGTGCACGAAATGGCCTGATAGACTCTGGAAGGTAGACCAGCGGTCTCCATAGCTATGACCAGACATTCCTAAATAGTAATTGAGGTCTCTTCTAAAGTAATATTCAGTACTATATCCATTGTAGTCATCATAACCTGTATACCCACTTTCATAGGCACCACACCTCATTCCTTCCAACCCAGCTCCTCTACTAAGACTGTCATAGCATCTGCCAGCCTGAGGTCTATCATAAGGACCTGGACGTTGCCTAGTCATTAGCTTTTGAGGAGGATCATAATGAGTACTAACTTCTGCCTGGCTACTCTTGAAGATTTCAATGTACCTGTGCCCTATTCTTTCCTTGTGTTTCTTTAGAGCCTTTTCAGCTATTTCCTGGGAGGCAAACTGCACAAAAGCTTCCCCACTATTCCTCCCTCGAAAGTCTACTGGCAACATTATCCCATTTGGCATGATTTCCAACCCTGAAAAAAACTGAATAATGTCTTCCTTGTTGCAGCTAAATGGGAGTCCTCTAAGGCGTACATAGCCATCACTGGTGGTGTCAAGGCAATTTAAAGCAGTATGGTTCAATACCCAATCCATTTCAACCTTGTTTGACTTGAATACTTGAACATATCTGTGTGCCATAGTCTCTCTATCTTTTTTCAGTGCCAGTTTGACGTCATCTTCAGATTCGAGTTCAATGAAAGCTTCACCACTTGGTCTCCCATCTCTGGTATAGATGAAATGGATGCCTGATGCCCCATTTTGAATTTTGCATTCTGAGAAGAAGTGTTGGACATCACTGGCTGAGCATGACCAAGGCAAGCCCCGGACCTTCACCACAAAGCCTTCTTCTCCTTTGGTGCTCAGCATCATTTTGTCTAGTCAGTAGCAGCAGCTTGACATGGGACTGTCTCCAGACTTGACTTCAGCGTGTCTGTAAAGAAAATCTCAATTCATTTTTTTTAGTTGACTCTCTAGAGTTCTCTAAGTAAACCGTAATGTTTATATACATAGATATTGTGAAGAGTTCTCTCAATAAAATTTCATATCATCCTCTTTAACTATTTATTTTCTCAACTTCCTTTTCTTTTGTTATTGATTTATCTAGAATTTCTAGCACCATAATGTAGTAGTGGTGGTAATAGACAAGTTTGCTTTTCCCTTGATCTTATGGTAAAAACCTCTAGTTTGTTCCTTTTACATATAATCTGGCTCTTGATTTTAGTAATTATCACATAAAGGAAAGATCCACTTATTCCTATTTGTGTGTGTGGTATGTGTGTGTGATGCTGCAGGTCTGACATTTCTGAAATTGATGTGAGTCCAAGGAGAAATGGGAATTGATCCTCTTCTATCATCTATTACTAAAAACCTGACCTATTCTTTTTTTCTACCCATCTTCAGCCTCATTGTGATCACTTGTGTGTTACCTTTACCTTCTTAGACTAGGTTCTTTGGCAAAACTGGCAATTGTTTGAACCTGCCTCAGAATACTATAACTTTGCTACCATGGAGGGTTTTTTCTTTTTTTTTTTGTGGAAAGATTTTTTACTTTCAAAGTAATGAACGTTCAGGTAACCTAACGACACTCTATGATTGTTGAAAGGACTCACCATTCCACAAAAACTACAAAGAGAATTTTGGAAAGCATTCTGGCAGACATTAGGTTTAAACCATCATTCACAACATAAACCACAATAAGCTTTATATGGATAGTTGTAGATAAAATCACATCCTAAATAAATTTGAAGTCCAAAAGTGGAGATTCCTCTCAGAGGTGTGGAGAGAGGAAGACATTATGAACAAATGAGATACAATCATAGTAGATAAAATGGACAGTTTTTATTACATGAAATGGAAGTTTTGGCACAATAATAGCTAGAATTTATGTAGCACTTTAAGGTTTGCAAAGCACTTGACAAATATGATCTCATTCTTATACTCACAACAACACTGGGAAGTAGGTCCTATCATTATCCCAATTTTACAGTTAAGAAAACTGAGGCAGACAGAAGTTAAGTGACTTACCTGGGGTGATATCACTAGTAGGTGTCTGAGGCCAGATATGAACTCAGTTTTTCTTGTCTCCAAGTACAGTGTTCTTTCCACTGTACCACCAAGCTGCATAAACAAAAATCAATGCAGTTAAATTTGGAAGGGAATCAATTACCTGGACACCCCCCCTCCATGCCCGCCCCTTGCAGGACTTTTGCAGGAATTTTTTCTGATGAAGGTTTGAAATCTAAGATGCATATAGAATTGATTCAAATATATAAGAAATATCAATTGGAGAACTGATATTCCAATTGATAAATGATTAAGGGATATGTATAGTAATTCTCAAAGGTAGAGATACAAGTAATTAGCAGTGATTTTAAAAAGTTCTACATCGCTAATAGAGAAATTCAAATTAACATTCTAAGGTTCCACCTTAGAGTCATCTGATTAGCAAAGATGACAATAAAAGACATTGTCAATGATGGGAGAGGTTGCAGGAAAATAGGTAAATTAATGCACTACTGGTTGAGTTATGAACTGGTCTAGACATTCTGGAAAGCGATTTGAACCTATAAAATCACCAAAGTCACCAAACTATATACCCTTCCGTTCAGTTGTTATCAGTAATTGGCATATAACCCAAAGAGAAAAAAAGAATGATGGAAAAGATCTAGAGACACAGAGACACAGAGACACAGAGATATAGAGACATAGAGTACGCCTTTTTGCTTTAGCAAACCCTGGAAAGAAAGTCAAAGCTCATGAATTGAGGAATGGCTGAAACAATTATTCCATACTAAGTGGAATGGAATATTATTATAGTGTGAGAAATGATAAAAAGAGTGAATTCAGGAAAACCTGGAAAGACATGTTATATGAACTGATATGGGGCAAAATGAGCAGCACCAGGACAATAATTTAATAACTACAACATCATTACAAAAACCTGGCAGATTTAAGAAGTCTGATCAATGCAATGAGCAGTCATGACTCAAGGCTACCAAGGATGAAGCAGGCAACCCATTACCTGAGAGGTGAAGGACCTGAAGGGCAGATGTAGTTTTGGACACCGCCAATGTGAATTTGTTTTGCTTAACTTTGCTTATTTGGTTCTATGGGGAAAATTACTAGAAAGAAGAAGACTAGAGCCAATGATGGGAAACTGGAAAAGAAGGAAAGAAAAAAAAGAAAAAGGAAAGAAAGAAGAGAAAAGAAAAAAGAAAAATAAAAGAAATTAAAGAAAGCCCTTGTAGTATCTCACACAAAATGGATAGGAGAAAATAAAAGTTTCAAGAGACACAAGCAGTACAGCTTTGAAACTCATCTGCACAATTTATTATATACGTTTGAAAAGAAAAACAAACTGAATTAAATGCAGATTTTTGGTTTCATATATATTCCTCTTTCACTCTTCTCTATATATAGACATGTTTGTGTTTATCAATGTTTGTAAAATTCAGAGTAACAAAGGTCAAAGTTAAAGTCTAGATCTTCCAGGTCAAAGGAAAAATAGTGCAAGTGGCTGGAGAGAAAGTGCAAGTACCAAAGACCCCCAAGCAGGATCATGGAAGACTACACTGCAACTGATTGGTTATGGGGAGTGGACAAGTGGACAATAATCTGCAATCAATGAGAGAAATGCCACAAGCTGCTCAGAAAGAATGTGATACAGGTGGGAAGTCTTCAGGAAAAGCTGAGCAGACAATTTTAGCCTCAGTCTAAGTCCTCCTGGCTCAATTTCCCCTTTATATTTCTTTGAAAGTGAATGTTACCCACCTGGCTATTCCTCAGTCTGGCTAGGAGGTGGATTTGATACTGCATGGTTGGAAAACTGTGATGCTTTTGGGATGGGTAGGGGATGAGATTCATATCCATTTCTCTCTTGCTTTTCCCTTTTCCTAGGACAGAGCTTGATAGAAGGGAAATCAGCTATACTAGGTGATGGGGATGGGATCTGAACCTCTAAAAGGAAAATCCCGGGACTTTCCCAAATTCCTGGCATTTGCCTGAGGCTGTAATCCACTTAACTGACCTTTCATTGTGGCTACACCCAAATCTCCCAATTGGCCCACCCTTAATCCTATCAGACTCCATTCTCCCTCTGTCAGTCCTGGGTGGTCCGGATCCCAGGTGATTCTGTTCATTCAAGTTTTCTGGCCACTCCCATCCAGATTCTCCTTAGGCCCGTCCTACAGTCACCCCAAATTACTTGGCCAATCCTAGATCCTTCCAGTCTTTCCGTATATAAGGTCCATCTTGTCTCCATCAAAGTACTCAGATTTGGGGCAGCCAGATGGCACAGTGAATAGAACACTGGCCCTGGAGTCAGGAAGACCTGAGTTTAAGTCAGGCCTCAGACACATAACACTAACTAGCTGTGTGACTCTGAGCAAGTCACTTAACCCCATTGCCTAGCCAAAAAATAAATAAAGTGCTCGGATTCTTAAAATATGGCCTTCTTGTATTAGCATACAAATGCTTAGATTACTTAAGAGTCTGGCCAGTATGGCAGATCTTTAATAAACCTTGTCTTTGGCTAAAAGAAAAAAAATCAACAAATAAATGTATACATGCTTGTTGACTGACTGCCTACTGTATGCACAGCATGCCTGCAGCATGATGTGCTGAATCCCGTCTCAGATCCTCCCCAAGAATTCAGGTGTAGCCAACCTCACTGGCCAAGAGGTCCAAATCATTATAGCCATGGATCAGAGTCAACACATTGCTCCTCTTGTGAGTGAGCAGCCTAATGTGAATATCAGGCTAACCATATGACAAACAACCAGTCTCTGTATTATCCCATTTGATACTTACAGCTTTGTGAGTTCAGATATTACAAGTATTAAAATCCCTGTTTAACAGATGACAAATCTGAGGGTTAGGTAGAGTAAGTAATTTGACTACGGTCATGAAGATATAACCACGTCACAGGCACTGATTCAAACCCTATATTTCTGACTACAAGTATAAACAGGCCATCTTTCAATTTTCACAGATTTGATAGAAAAAAGATATTTCCCAGGAGGAATCTTACCTTTGCTTTCCTGTTAGGAGGCTTCCTGGTCAGGAACACAGCTTCAGCTGGAGTCTAGACTCTGAGCAGAGATCTCTCAAACTGAGCCAACCAACTAAGCCAGTCTTTTTTATACTTTCCTCAAGTGTCTCCTCCCCTTTCCTATTCAAATTAAGAAGGTGTAAATTGCCCACCTCATAGTGGGACAATAGAAAAATCCCTTTATCTCCCTTAACAAAGGACCACTCCTCAGTGCTTGGCTATCTTACCTTCTTTATGCTCCAACCTCATTTAGTTACATTTAACACATTTGCCACTTTTTGAGTACGACATGGTGTTACACACCTCAGAAACAATGAAGGGGAAATTTATTCCCTTGACCACTTGATCACATCAGTCTCCTAAGCACTTTCTAAGTGTAAAGAGAGAGGGAGATGTCAGTCTTTATTGCAGCGAAAAGATATTTTTCCTGAATGTTCACATATTTCTGGAAGGCCTGACAATAGGTTTTCACATCTAAGTAAACTATCCATTTTTTTCTGATCCCTGCAATAGCGGAATACAATCTACTAGGAAAGAGTCAAATCATCCTCATTAGCTGCAGTTCTGGGAGCAGGGAAGTCACATGAGTCATTCAACGCAGTCATGACCTCTAGAAATAAGGTACTAAAGAGACAAACAGAAAGAGGGTGGCTTCTCCAGCCTCCTGTCCAGCATATAGATACTAAAGCAGAACACTGAATTTCTGGGTTAGTCTGCAGAATTTAATCTAGAGAAAGGAAGCACCCTGAAGTATAAGTATCTAGGGAAATACCAAGAAATAATGTGAATGGGTATGAAGGTGTACTTTCGAATAAGTCAA